CGCGCCGGGCCTGAAGCTGGCCACGCTGGGGCTGATCCTGTGCGTGAGCCTGGCGGGCAACGTGCTGTTCGCTTGGCTCATCCTCAAGGACCGCCAGCTGCACCGCGCGCCCTACTACCTGCTGCTGGACCTGTGCCTGGCCGACGGGCTGCGCTCGCTGGCCTGCTTCCCCTTCGTCATGCTGTCCGTGCGCAGCGGGGCGGGCGCCTGGCCGCACGGGCCGCTCAGCTGCAAGGTGCTGGCCTTCCTGGCCGTGCTCTTCTGCTTCCACGCCGCCTTCCTGCTCTTCTGCGTGGGCGTCACGCGCTACATGGCCATCGCCCACCACCGCTTCTACGCCAAGCGCCTGACGGGCTGGACCTGCCTGGCCGTGGTGTGCATGGTGTGGACGCTGTCCATGGCCATGGCCTTCCCCCCCGTCTTCGACGTGGGCACCTACAAGTTCATCCGGGAGGAGGAGCAGTGCATCTTCGAGCACCGCTACGTCAAGGCCAACGACACGCTGGGCTTCATGCTCATGCTGGCCGCCGTCATCGCCGCCACCCACCTGGTCTACGGGAAGCTCCTCTTCTTCATCCACGGCCACCGCAAGATGAAGCCGGCCCAGCTGGTCCCGGCCATCAGCCAGAACTGGACTTTCCACGGGCCCGGCGCCACCGGGCAAGCGGCGGCCAACTGGACGGCCGGCTTCGGCAGGGGCCCCACGCCGCCCACCCTGGTGGGCATCCGGCAGGCCACGCACAGCCAGATCAAGCGGCTGCTGGTGCTGGAGGAGTTCAAGATGGAGAAGAGGCTCTGCAAGATGTTCTACATGATCACCTTGCTCTTCCTGCTCCTCTGGTCCCCCTACATCGTGGCCTGCTACCTGCGGGTCTTCATCAAGGCCAGCACCATCCCCCAGGTCTACCTGACCGCCTCGGTCTGGATGACGTTCGCCCAGGCTGGAGTCAACCCCTTCCTGTGCTTCATTTTCAACAAGGAGCTGCGGGTCTGCCTCCGAGCCCACTTCCCCTGCTGCCAAAGCATACAGAGCGCCCAGGGCACCATACTGTGTGATCTCAAGAGCTTTGGGATGTAGGGTGGCTTTTCTTTCCTTCTTTCTTCTTCTATTTATTTATTGGTTTACTTGTCTGTTTTTTAAAGGGTCGTTTTCCCTATTTCTGCATATGATCCTGGGAGAGCTGCCTGCGGGGACACTTTTCAAACCATCCCCCAACCCCCCACACCTTAAGCTGTACGAAGCTGTCTTATTTATTTTTCTATACTTTGCCTATGCTCTTTTCAAATCGCTGTCCACGGGGAGGCTCACATAAACAGACCACCCCCTCCGCCCCCCAACCTTAGGCTGTAAGAAGCTGTCTTTGTGTTTTGTGTGGTTTCTGAAAACAAAAACAGGGCTCCACGTTTCTGGTCTTGCTTCTGACATTTGTAGGTGTGATTCCAACAGATTTGGATATAAGGCCATGGTGATTTTTCTTTTTTTTTTTTTTTCTTTTCCTGTCTGTTTTGCTAAAGGCTTAACAATTTTATTCATCTAAGATTTGATAAAGGCCAAGACAAAATTTTATACTAAAGTTATTTTTTGATGACCTCAAGAGGTGTTGTTTTATTATTTGATTTAAGGGAAGAACAAGAAGACAAAATTCCTAATTATGATAAGAAGTCTGTTCTTGTTGGGAGCTACTGGGTTGTGACGTTCTCAAGTGATTGAAGTATTAAAGCAGTGACTTGACTTTTTTGCTTGAAATGCAAACACGGTCTAGAACTAATTTCAGTTTTCTTGTTGCACTACTCATTTGGTAATATTTGTGAAATTGTGTGGTTTTAAACTATCAACTTGATCAGCTATAGCAGTTTTTAAAACTAGATTGGAATTCATATTTTACTGACTTTATAGGAAGTTATCTACCAAACTGGGTAATACTTGTACATTTTGACTGTTCTTTAATAAAATATTGGAATTTTTTCCTGTATGAAATTGTTTCGGAATGGCAGAACAGTGCTTTGCTGACAAATAAGTTGTGTACATACAAGATTGCATGTCTCGTGTCTGAGTATAATTCACAGTTGAGGATGTCGTGGAGAAGCACAGAATTCTTATTTGCTGTTGGATCTCTTTTTAGGTACTTATACCAATAAAAATGACTAAAGCTATTTTTAAGAAGACTTAAGTTCATGATGGGTGACAGACTTAAATAGCACAATTCTTTTTCTGTCTGCTAAACCTAAATTTTCATTTAGAAAATTGCTCTTCTGATAATGATGAGATCACTGATTTCAGTTGGCAGAGCAGTTTCTTAACATGGTTACTTGATTAATAATGCACTCATTTGCAGGCTACACTCTTATCAGGAAGGTTATTTTTATGTTATTAATGAGCTAGGCTTCTTTTTATTTCATTATTGTTGCTTGGGCTGGAAAGATGTATGTGAAATATTTTAACTGAAGTTCTGGTCATGAGATTCTGAAATACGTAGTAGGATCCTATTTTAGCCACACCAAGAGTTAGATACTTCAAAGATACATAGTCAAGTATGTATCTCTTTGCCAAATATTTTATATCTATCTATCTATCTATCTATCAAGACATATCAAGATAGATATAGATAGATATAGATAGATAGATATATTATATATATATATATTGGGGAGAATTCATCCCACACTAACATTTTCTAAAATGTCACACGCATGCTGAAAGAGCTAAGGGGCTAAAGAAATGTTGGTAATGAGCTACAGGGACATTTACAGTATCCATCACCTGAGGAATATTTGTTGAGTTGCTGAAGAGATGGTTTCAGTACATTTTTAAACTGAACAGAAGAGACGACAAGTTTTTGGGTGATGGCTAAGACGACAGTCTGGGATACAAGTTTTTGGGTGATGGCTAAGATGACAGTCTGGGATTTGAGCAATGCATGGTGAAATCGTTTTTTTTCAAAGTAATTCAGATTTGAAAACCAAAAATGTTGGCCTCTCTGGGGCAGGGCGTGAGTCATGAGCTTTCTCCCCATCAGAGAAAGTTTGGAAAACAGGAAAAAACTCATTTAAACCATTGTCTTGCTTTTGCCAAAGTTTGAGTAAGGAACCTGGTACTGATTTGGGGATGTCAAAGCTTGCACAACAAAGTTAAACTTAATGAACATTCATAAGTCAGCAGTGGCACTGTGTGTGTGTAGGGGGAATTGGCAAGAACTTTTGATCATGGCAGAAGTTGTTTATGAGCACTATCTATGCCTCAATTCCTAGAGTACCAAGGAATATTAATTACAACACTTGTAACAATTAGCTACAGTTACCATTGTACCACATTACTCATCAATGGAGGCTTACATGCAGAAACATCCAAACCTTTATAGCAAATTGCCCTCTCTGCATACCATTTGTTTTACTGTGGATCTTTTGGAGGTTTACAGAATAACACTTATTTTTCAAAGTAAGAAATCTCCTGTAGAGACACAAGAATGTGCTAATTGGTGGTGTCTTCTAAGGGCACGCTGAGATTCCAAAACTGCAATCTACAAATTAATTTTTTACCTTTCCATAGCAACGGAAAGAAGAAATGAAACCACTGTTCTTGTTTCTCTGCTAGGTTTTAAGAAACAAACAGCAAGAGCAAAAAAAACCAACACCTAGCCCTTTTTGCAGAGGAAGGGATTGTGACATTTCCAAACTTCTAGGCTCAAGATTATGTGTGTTAATCTGGTGTTGAGATGGCCGCTAATTTAGCAAATATGCCGACCACCGCAAGAATCAGAATTTCCCTTCTTATGAGACTAAAGCAATATGAACAAGCCATAGTCGTTACTTGAATGGGGAGATAAAAAAAATCACCTTCAGGTTAATGTAATGATCTTCTTAAAATCTGGGAAGTCAAAGACAGCAGCACCAGGCCATAGGTGATATTTTCCCCATCAGAGAATGGGAAAATATCAGTGGAACAAAAGGCATGACCATTTCAGGGGCTGACATCCCATGAAGATGCACTGGGGTCGGTCATTGCTCATTGCAGAAAATGGAAATTTAGGTCCTGACTTTTAGTAACAGCAGGATCTGGCTCTGCTTCAGGAAATGCAAGGAAAAGTGCCAGTCACCAAATACATACAACTACACCTTCTTGCCATGCATGTGGGGAACTCAGTGCTGTCTGTGGCAATGCTGGTGTGGCTAGAGAATCGTTGGACCAGAACAAGGGGATGCTCACTTTGACTTATGCTTGAGGCACCTGCCCAGAGCAAACAGAGCCAGAATCTGCTCTCAGTCACGCTGGTGCAAAACGAAATTTGCTAATGCTAGTGGGATTATTCCTAGTGGATATCAGCTAGAATTTAAACCCAGCGCAATACTAAACACCGAAGCTAGATACAAGTGAAGGAAGCTGTATTGCATCTGCACCCACAAAGCCCACTTCATAAGCTACTGCTGGCAGATTCAGTCACTGTATACAGAAAGCAATTTTCAGGAAACGAGAGAACTGAAAAAGAACCAGAGAAACAATAAGATGAAGGATCTCTCAGAAACAGTAACAGGAGTGATAAGGTGTACTGAAGTCAGACGTATGAATCATATTCAGTAACAAATATAATCATGGGCTTCAGCACACTTTACAATGTTAACTCGGTTTTACAAAATCCTTTGGAGAGACCCCCCACTGCTTCTGGCCCTGGGGAAAAAAGTGCCATATGGGTTAAATGACCAAGATCACAGGGGAGGAAGCGTCAGAGAGAGGACTGAAGCCTCAGCTGTTCTGACTCCCACTCTCTTATGTCTAACTGCTGGACAATTTCTC